TGACCATGTCCCTGCTCCCTCCTCGCAATCCCTTGCCACAATCAGTCAGAGCAAGAGCCTTCTCTGCCACTCTTGGCCTCTGGAAAAACTCCTTGGAAACCACCTCAGTTTTTTCTTGGTTTGAATTACACCCGTAATGTCTCTTTTCACCCTAGACTATTTCCCTTAATAACAGCTCCCAATTCCTCCCATTGTTTAACTAGACTGTGGATTGTTTACAGTTAGGTAATAATTAATACCACTACCTTGGGTTATAAAGCACCTTTCCTCCAAAGGTCCCAAAGTATTTTACAAGTCATAATGAATTACATTTCACAAATCTCTCAAGGCTGATTGCTTCCTTCACCACTGAAATGCAGCCACCTCTGGAGAGAGGTGCAACTGCAGTTTAACAGCACACAGCAACATAACACAATTTTGCATCAGGAAATGAAGGGTAATACTCTTTCCATTTGAAAGCGGAACAGGAATTGATTTTTGCAAGATGTAAGAACCTGCGGGGGAGTGTGACCAGGATATAGGATCTTTAATGACCACACATGATCAGCACCTTGGTTTTATCATATTTCAGCCAGAAGATGATGCCACCTGCAGCGAAGTTCCCCCTAGCACCATGCTGGGGCATTGGAACAAGTACAAACAGAGGGGAAGTGGCATCTACGGAGTCACCAACAGTATTTCCTGCAGCACCTCTATGTTTCCTGGACATCTCCCATACAAGTACTCACACCCAGTGTCCAGGGAGGGGCCCATCCACATACCAATCCAATCCCACCTTGCGTAATGTGTGAGCTCTAATGAGATCTGAGGCCACGGTTCTGTGCAGGCATTAGTATTTATTTCTCTGCTGCTGCTCCTGTTCTTGCTGTTGTCCCTGCCTCAAGACACACTCCTCCAAAGGCTGCTCACGGAGTCTCCTTGTGATTGCTTTCAGACTAGAGATTTCAGCACAGAAACTAAACCAGGTCCCCCACCAACCCACTGCCGCTCATGCTGGTCTCCCCATACAGCAAGGCCTGTCTTGCCAACCCGTGCAGAGCTAGGTTTCTTGGCGCTCTGGCTGAACTTGTGTCTGAGGAAGCCACACCTGCCGTCATAGCTTCTGTATCTGTCTGGCCTGCTTCCAGGCCACACAATGGAAACAGACAGCACACGGAGCTGGATCCTGCAAGGGGCTGGGTGCCCTCAACTCCCACAGATTTCAGTGGAAGCTGAGGGGGCTCAGCACCCCCAGGAGTTGCTCCTAGCAGGATCAAGCCCACTCAAAATAACCCATATTTGTCCAGGGCCTGAGAGGGGAAATCTGTGCTGCCTTATCATTGCCCCTACCTGGCTCCCCCGCCCCAACCCCCTTTTCTAAGGCAGACATTCAATTCCATTCCGCGTGGCAGCTTTACATCCCAGAAATCCACCCTTCCGTGTGAGAGCCCAAGGAGGGGATGGGAGAAGGACCAAGGGGGCTGTCCCTGTGACATGGAGAGGCAGGTACGGGTGAGCACACTGGGATGACATGGGGCTCAGGCAGTCATTAGCCCAGCAGTGGGGCATGAGACAGTCATCCATAAATCATGGGGAAAACCGGGGTCAAGGCAGGATCATTAGTGCAGTGGAAGGCAATGGGACAGGATCATGGTGACAGTGGGTCTCAGGGTGGGGTTGTGTCGGGCACAGGGGGCTTTGCCCGTTCGGAATGTTGGGAGGAGGGGCTCAGAGCAGGGGTGTGCTGGGACTAGGGGGCACTAGTGCATGGACACCCAAATGCCACGGGGTCAGGGAGGGAGCCTCATTAGTGCAGCAAGGGGGCGTTGGACTAGGGTCACACACATTTGGTGGTGTGGGGAGGAGTACAGGGAGGGTTACCCACACAATGTGGTGAGGGCAGCTCACCGCAGGGGCTGGGAGAGAGCTGCCCACACAGCAAGGCAGATGTCAAACGTAGAGCAGTTCAGGCTGAAGCTGCCTAATCTGGAGGCAATCAGTGGGATTCCTCAGTGGGGCAGAGGCAGGTGGAGTGCTGGATGTAATAGATTTGGGGCCTCAATCTCCTGGTAAGGGGCCAGGACAGAACAGGGGGCTGCAGTAATGAAGTGGCCCACAGCAAGGACTACTCACACACATTGCTGGGCTTGACTTTAATTATCAGCTCAGGAGAAAGACATGGACACCATTGCGGACAGTACAATGGAGACCTCTGCTTAGTATGCGGGAGTTGAAAAAGCAAACAGCACATTAGGGTCCGCAAGGAAGGTGATGGAGATTTACACTGAAACTATTATAATGCCAGCGTGTAAAACAAAAGAATATGGAATCCTCGTATGGAATACTGTGTGCCATGCTGGGGACGCTGTCTCCAAAGGGACAGCGCAGAAACATAGGGCTTCAGAGATAGGACTGATCAGAGACATAGGAAACTTCCACATGAAGATTGCAAAGACTGGGACTGTTTAGTTTGGAGAGGAGCTGAATAAGAAGGGGAATGATCAAGATATAGAAAATAACGACTGGCACAGAAGAGGTAGATTAGGTATATCCCATTGATCCTTGCACAGGATGAGACTGGTGGCCAGGCAACAAAACGGAAGGGCAGCAAATTTCAAAATGATAGGCTTCCCCCTCACCCCAACATGCTATAAAAACTTCAGGGTCCACCTGTGCGACAACAACTGATTTCTCCATATAAAAGCATTAAGGAGTAGGAAGCAGGGCAAGTGCCTGGGGCCCCACGCCACAAGGGTCACCGTGGAGATAAACTGCTCAGGCTTCAGCTTTATCCCCGGGTGCTAGAGCTCAGGGCCCAGGGCTATTGTCCTGCACGGTGGGGCTTCAGCTTTCTGCCCTGGGCCCTACACAGTCTAGTGCCAGCCATGCTTGATGGACACCCTGAAACCTGCTCCCGGCCACCGAGGGGGCCCCAGACCTCTGGTTGAGAACCACTGACATACAGAACACTGGGCTAGATGGACCCATGTTCTGGGTCTGCCAGTTCCTACAGGCCCAGTTAGCTGAGGCCTGAGTATCTACTTCAAATAGAATCGTGATTACTTGAAAATTTGACTCTACGTTCCGAAGAATCCCCTGAAGACAAATCCACCCCTCTCTTGGATCTCCCCAAATCTCAAGAAAACAGCCTGTCCTCCTGCCCCTGGGAACCCAACATTACTAGCCACCTTGGCAACTAAACCCTGCAGGTAACACCAGGCCGCAGTCAGCCACACTGCATTCGACAATGCCCCTTCCCTCTTCTTTTGCATTGGCAACAGACCCTTCTGCCAAGAGCCGTAAGTCCTGCCCCCAACACCAGCGTGTCCCAGATTCCTGGATAGTGGGCCAACTGCTCCCTGTAAGCATGAGCTCAGCAAAGAGCACTAGCCAAAGTGCCTCCCCAAGCCCCTATCCCCAGAGGGCAAGACTGAGGCTGGTAGGGAGCAGGTGAGGCCAGGAAGCTGTGTCTAAGCAGGACCCCCAGAGCCAGCCAGATGGAGAGGCTCTCCTCCCCCCCACCCACTGTGGGCTGACTGCTCTCAAACTGGCTCCGGGACTTGGGAATGTTTTGCTTGTGTTGTGTTTATTTCTTCCAGGAATAGCAGGTGCCACTGCTCAGGCAGCTCTGCAGGGTGGTGACTCATTTGAAATGAGCGGCGGTGACTTCCCCCCCAAACTACTGTAACTCCTGCCTGGGAAACTCCAGAAAGCCCACAACCCCCGCGGGGAAGGAGAGGAAAGGAGCGGAGAAAGGAGAAGTAGGCGACTCCGTGGGTGGAAGAGATGGAAAAGCAGAATAAGGAAAGGAAAAGAAAGGGGATCTGGGGAAAGAGAGGAACAGGAGTAGAGATCTGATAGAGTAAATTGTGAGCAGAGAACAGGAAGGAGGTAGTGGGAGCAGAACCTCAAAGAGAAGAAAGAAATGGAAAGGAGAAATGGGAAGAAGATGGGAGCAAAGAGGGGATGGAGATGGGATGATGGAGGGAAGGAGAGATGGGGCAAAGGGAATGGGAAGCAATGGGGCAAAGAGGGGAAGGAGAGATGGGGCAGAGAGGGAACAGAAGAGGTGGAATAGGGGCAGAGAGGGAAGGAGGAGGAGGAATAGGAGCAGAGGAGGAAGGAGAGATGGGGCAGAGAGGGAATGGGAAAGGAGCGGAATGGGGCAGAGGGGGAACAGTAAAAAGGAGTGGGGCAAAGGAGGAAGGAGAGAGATCATGGGGCGGAGGAGGAATGGGGGAAGGATGCAGAATCGGGGTAGAGAGGGAAGGAGGGGGAGGAATAGGGGTAGAGGGGGAAGTAGAGATGGAGCAGAGGGGGAACAGGAAGGAAGAGGAGGAATAGGGGCAGAGGAAGGAGAGATGGGGCAGAGGGGAATGGGGAGGAGGAATGGGGCAGAGGGGGAAGGGGAAGGAGGAGGAAGGAGAGATGGGGCAGAGGAGGAAGGAGAGATGGGGCAGAGAGGGAAGGGGAAGGAGGTGGAATAGGGGCAGAGAGGAGATGAAATGAAGGAAGCCAAGAGGAGAAGGCATGAGAGAGGGGCGGCTGGAGCCCCATTCTGTGCCCGTGCCCTGCTCTCCTCTGTGCCCCGAAATGGGGAGCGAAGTTCCACTAAGTAGCCGAGCCCTGCGCTCCCCCAGCCGCGCCGTCCCCACCCGCCCAGTCCCGGAAGGGCAGCATCAGCAGCGCCCAGCGGGCAGCACCTGGGTGAGCGCAGCAGGTGCGCGGCAAGCGCGGCTGGGGGCGAGAATCAGCTGCCTGCCAAAGCCAAAGGGCTACCCCGAGGGAAGATGGGGGGCATCCCCCGGTCAAGCCCAACGTGGAGACAGAGGGGGGCGCAGCTGTCGCCCCGCTTCGGGCGGCAGCAGCAGCAGCAGGGGTCGAACAGGGGGTCGCGCCGCTGTCCCGGTGCTCGGCGCTGTACAGCGCTCAGGGGCGCGAGCAGAGCGCGGGCGGGCCCAGGAGACGCCCGGTGGCCGCGGCAGCCCCAGACGCGCCGGAGGGGCCGGGCTGGCTCCTACCTTTGCCGGCAGCCTCCGGGTCTACGTACATGGTCCCTTCCTGGTAGCCGTGGGCTCCTCCCAGGCAAGGCAGCCCCCGGACAGCGGCGCGGGCTGCGGGCTTTGTACGGTCCACACGGGCAGGCTCGGAGCAGCTGGGGAGCAGCGAGCATCAGCCGCAGGCGGCGGGGAGCCGGGCAAGCGCGGCGGGCAACTGAGCCCCGGAGCGGCGGGGAGCCGGCATGTGGGGGGAGCCTGGCGGGCGGCGGCGGCTGCTGCTGCTGCGAGGGGCTCCGCGGAGTGACTCACGTCCACACTGGGGCATGCCAGGCTCCGGCGCGCTCCCCACACCCCGCCGCGCGCGCCTGTGTGTGTGTGTGTGTGTGTGCGCGCGTGCGGCGCCCGGCCCGCTGCTGCTCGCTGCTGGCGCCGGAGGGGATTGCAGCCGCCTGCCGGAGCCGGACGTGCATGGACCCGGTGCCCGCCCCCTGGGCACAGAAACCCAACTCCGGGTCCTCTCCCCAGGGGCACCCAGAGCCCACCCCCTGGGCACAGAAACCCAACTCCGGTTCCTCTCCCCAGGGGCACCCAGAGCCCACCCCCTGGGCACAGAAACCCAACTCCGGTTCCTCTCCCCAGGGGCACCCAGAGCCCACCCCCTGGGCACAAAGAAAAGGAGTACTTGTGGCACCTTAGAGACTAACCAATTTATTTGAGCATGAGCTACAAGTACTCCTTTTCTTTTTGCAAATACAGACTAACACGGCTGTTCCTCTGAAACCCCTGGGCACAGAAACCCAACTCCAGTTCCTCTCCCCAGGGGCACCCAGAGCCCACCCCCTGGGCACAGAAATCCAACTCTGGTTCCTCTCCCCAGGGGCACCCAGAGCCCACCCCCTGGGCACAGAAATCCAACTCTGGTTCCTCTCCCCAGGGGCACCCAGAGCCCACCCCCTGGGCACAGAAATCCAACTCCGGGTTTTCTCCCCAGGGGCACCCAGAGCCCACCCCCTGGGCATAGAAATCCAACTCCGGTTCCTCTCCCCAGGGGCACCCAGAGCCCACCCCCTGGGCACAGAAACCCAACTCCGGTTCCTCTCCCCAGGGGCACCCAGAGCCCACCCCCTGGGCATAGAAATCCAACTCTGGTTCCTCTTCCCGGGGGCACCCAGAGCCCACCCCCTGGGCACAGAAATCCAGCTCCGGTTCCTCTTCCCGGGGGCACCCAGAACCCAACCCATTGGCACAGAAATCCAACTCTGGTTCTTCTCCTGAGGGCATTCGGTGCCCACCCCGAGGGCAGAGAAACCATACTCTGGTTCTTCTCCACGCGGGCACCCAGAGCCCACCCCGTGGGCACAGAAATCCAACTCCGGTTTTTCTCCCCAGGGGCACTCAGAACCCACCCCGTGGGCATAGAAATCCAACTCCGGTTCTTCTTCCCAGGGACACCGAGAGTCCACTCCAGGGGGCACAGAAATCCAGTTCAGTTTTTTTCCTGCTGATAAATTCACAGAGGGCATCATCTTAGTCTTGACACTAGCACAGATTTTCTTAGTCCACATGGTCACTGGTAAAGCCATGGGTGGATTTCTGTGCCCTGCTGGAATGAGTTCTGGAGCCATCTGTGAGGGGGCAGAGGAAGATCTCAATATCATTTCCACTCCATCGGAGCAGGTAAACACAATTCACGTCCCCTGCTTTTATTGCACATTAACATTTGCTGAACGCATCCAATGGAAAAACACACATAGCAAATTAACGGAAATATGTTTGGTAAATTGGCTCTGCAGTGTGTTGATAAATAGGTACGGAGGGGGGTGTCAGGGAGGGGAGCTCTCTGGCTAAACTGAGGCCAACAGGAAACAGCCCCTGAGAGCCAAGAACCCCCACCCCATCCCCACTCACACAAGCCTATATGAGAGCTCCGAGGGACTAATTGTCCCTAGGAAGTGATCTAACCTTTCCTCCCCAGTGGGAAAATGAACCCGGCCTATCATGCTCCTTAACCCATGTCCAAGGGTTAAGGAGGGAGGGCCAAGAGAGTTTGGGCAGGAGCAAAGGTAGAGAAGTTGCCCACTTTGGTCAGTCAATGTTACACACACACCCCACATAAACACATTCTCCAGCCCGCTGTAGAAGCCTGCTCTACTGACGCCTCCGTCATCCTTTCACACACACTAGTCAGCTCCCCAGACCAACGGTGGTGGCCAGAGGTCTCTCATGATAGGTGGGTTGGGGTGGTTGCCTGCCTCTGCTGGAGCTCACCCCTGCTCTGCGTCAGCCCTGCCAGACAGGCCTCATCCTTGTGGCTTGTGCGGTATCTCTCAAAATTTCATCTTTGCTTTTGGAATGCATCAGAGGTGGCACCAAGTGCTATAAAAATGTTCTGAGGGGAAGGTGCCCTAACAGGGTCCACATACACATGCTAATAAGATGCATGCACATACACATATCAACCCACAGGTACCCACCTGTACACGCATGTGTCCCAGCCACTCAGCATGTCTGTTCGTCCCTCTCTAGCATTGACTGGGACCAAGGTTGATGAACCTATTCCAACCTTGACTTGAGCTGGGTCTCTTAGCTCAAGTAGCGAAGGCTCACGTTTTAGAACCAGAAGTCCCAGGTGCGCCCCCCCCCCGCCCCCCAACAACAACACACCTGGAGACACAAACGTGTACAAGCCCAGGTGCACACATGCATGTCATATGCACAGTGGACATTCCTTTCAGGACCCAAAACAGTCTCAGTTCCCCTGCTTCTCAAACAAAATAAGGCAACACCCTCCTGGAGGTTAGTAGCTGGTACTTGGAGGAGTGCTTTCTGGACCTCCAGGGAAGGAGGTGGAACATTTTCAGTAGCAGATACAGAGAGAGCCATCTCCTATGGACAGGGCTGCTGCTGTGTAGAGGAAACTACTCTCCATTCCCCTATTGCTTTGTTTCCTTATTTGTGCTGCACGCCTGGCTTGGATTAAAGCACCAGGAGATTTCTCTTTCTGAAGAAATTTGACTTCATGCTGGCTCTTAACTAAGGCCTTGTCTCCATAAAAGAGCTGTAGTACTTGAACCATTCCAGTATTGCAATATCAGGACGGATCCCCTTGCGTGGACAGCTATAGATGTATAGAGGAGCCTGGTATCAGTGTAGTTTATTCCTACAGAGGAAGGGGAATAAATTGTACCAGGATCAGACACCCTTATACCAGTAGAACTGTCCACACTGTATATCTGTGACAAAAATCACCCCGCTAACTGAAATAGTTATAGTGGGACAAAAAGCGTGTTGAGACCAGGCCTATATAACCAGCCCTCTTTCTCCTGTGTCGGAAAAGGATAATAGGAAAGACCACGGAACTGGGCTGTTCTACCCACCTCCACATCCCCATGCACACACCATCTCCGATAACAAGTTAAACACTGGGCTGGAGTCTCAGTAAACAGCCCACTTTTCAGGACCCAAATATAAACATTTCCAGTAAGTGCACTCAGTGAAGTTTGTTTGCCAACTGATCATACCCACTTCCCTGGGGCTATGAGAGAGTGGTTTGGTTTAAATGGGGAAAGCAAACAAGTCCCTCGACCGCTCCTCTGAGAGCTCACATGCCCCTAGCATGTGGGGTTGATTGAAGACAAAGGGGGGGGACCTTTCTGTGAGAGCCTCTAATTAAATTCTTGGCAGCAAATCGCTGCTCTACTCCGCTTTCTAAACACACTTCCCACATGCTCTTCAGCAGGCTAGAAAATCCCAGTCCCCCCATGCACAGAAGCTCCTGTCAGCTCCATAACCCCTCACTCCCACACAAATGCACTCCACTGCTTTGCACCCTGCCCAGACATTTTCACTGGTGAAAAGTGAGTGTAAAATGCTGCTGACTCAGAGCAGAGTCATGCCCTCACTATGCCCAGGTTACAACAATGCTGCAAGGTAGAGATTCAGGTCCATGGGTGTGCTCAGCACTGCACACACATGATAAGAGACAGTCCCTGTCCTGAACACTTTGCAAGCTAAATAAAGGAAACAGACAGAATGGATTTGTACTCCTCTTTCACAGATGGGGACCTGAAACCCCACGAGTTCTGCTCCCATCTATGCACCAAATGAGGCAGCCAGATTTTCCAGAGATAATCTGCCCAGGAGTGTCTCTACAGGAGCTGTAGGATGCTGAGTGCTTTGGATAATCTGGCCCATGGTTCGGGGCCTAAAGTGGATTGGGTACTTATAGAAATCGAGCCTCAGGTCACTTGGCCAAGATCACACAGAGAGTCTGTGTCAGAGGTGGGGTGGGGGACTGAACCCAGAGCACCTGAGTCCCACTCAAGCACCTTAACCATCGTTCCTCCCCACCTGGGTTGTGCAACCCCACTCTCAACCCAGAGACCTGCCTGCTCTCCAGCTGACGATATACCACCACCTTGCATCTCCACTTTATAGCTATCTGATCGCCTCCACAACCCCCAATCGTCTACACAACCCTCATTCCCTCCCCACCACCATCCAGCATGTTCCCTGGACCGGCTCTGAAACCTGCAATACACACCACACATGCTGCTCCCAAGCCCTACGCAGGCTTCACTCACCCAAACCTTTATTTCTCAGCCAACTGTTTGTGAACGCAGCAAAGCCACCTTCCTGCCTGGGACTATGCGCAGGCCATGTTTAAGGTCTTAAATCCAAACTGCTTACTTGTGATCGGGGGCAGAGGGGGAGGCAAGTTTTAATGGCAGGAGAAGGGGACATGCGCAGATGACTCTGAAGTACTGTCGCTGCCCTAGTGACCTTCAACGGGCCTCAAACTCCTCCCTACCTGTGCGAGAGCAAGCGGAGGAGTTTCCAAGTGAGAGGTAATTAAGCAGGGGAAGTTGGAAGCAGATCTGTGCAATGTATTTGGAACTGCCCTGAAAGTAGGTGGAGCTGGCCTAAGTTTGCCTCAAACATGCTGCTGATTCGGTTTGCCATACACAAAGGAAAACCTGGAGCTCTGTACACCACTGGGGAGCGTGTGCCTGGTCCCCACTGTGCCCAAGCTGCAGTGGCTGGTACAGCCCTGACTGGAAAGCCTTTCCTCCAGTACAGCAACTTATGCGTTTAGCTCCAGTGGTTCCCCGGCCGCGGGTTCACTCCTCACTGTGTCAGCCAAGATGGTGGCCCTCACACCTCTCTCGAAAGAGATTTAGATTTGATCAAAGGAAAAATAACAAGAAAGAAGCAGAGTGAGAGTGTTTTGTGGGTGTCTCCTTTGCAACAGGCTGAGATTGCTGTACCTGCTGTCTCTGCCCACAGGAAGAGTGCTTAGCACAGGGAAAATTAAGGCATTGCTGTATGTCATGCCATTGACCCTGCAGCCTTGG